AAAAAAAAAAAAAAAAAAAAAGGCAAAAGGGTATGTCATCGTTAAAGGTCACAGGAAGCCTATAACAGGAAATGTTTCCTTTGGTCTAAGAGCAAACTGAAGTTCAGATACCAAGATGGCAGAGTTGGAATGCATACTCAGTTCTGTTAGCTTATGATCTTTCCATGAAATCACTTCGCCAGAAAGACATACCCAAAAACTTAAAATCTGGTAGGATTAAAGTAAGTATGGAAGCTTCTCTTTAATTTTAGTTTACATGTAATCTTATATCTGCAGGGGAAAAAGGTGAACAATATCTATTGCAGAAAGACATCTGTATTCTACAAGTTTGTTGATTGGGGCAAGTAGACATAGATGAAATTAGAAAATGTATCTTAAACAGTATATATATAGAAGGTAATAATATTTCTGAGTCCTATTGATTTTTAAAAGTAATTTTAATATTAGTATCAAAAGTCTAATCTCTAAAATATAAATGCTACTATTCTTCTCTTTAGTTAGCAATATTGTAAAGCTATTGAAGAGGCTTATAAAATTCTTAGGAAAGCTGCTATAAAACACAGAGTTTATTATTTCTTACCTCATGTGTTCCTACTTTGTTCTTACCTCAATTACGGTATCCCTTATATTGTATCCTAATCGTTATTCTGAAATCTCTACCAGCAAGTGGGTTCGTTCAAGACAGGGACCAGGTCTCTTTCACTGTGGTTTTCATCATAACCTGGATAGTGTCTGAAATATAATAAGCACTCAGTAAATGTTTATGGAATAAATAAACCAGCAAACCGTAACAAAAGGATTCATCTTTCTGATCCATTTCTCTATTTCCAAAATGAGAAGACAGTAGTAATATTTTCCTAGATTGCTTATCAGGAACCGATCATATCTGTTCATATACTCTCTACTGGAGATATGTGCCACAGATATAAATGGCTATCACCACGATTAGTAAGGGGGTAATTATTACCATTTTTCTTGTTGAAATCTTAAAAAAATCTAATCATTATACTATCACTCTTTAAGTTAAAAAAAAATAGAGAAAAAGTCTTTAAGTTAAAAAAAGAGAGAAAAAAGAAAAATATCTAACCAATAAATTTTAGGAAAGAAATGTAGGCTATCTGATGTAATAGGCAGTAGGACTCTCTATCCCTGGGCGCTCAGGGTAGAAGGAAAAGCAGAACCCCACCGCGGAGATGAGAATAATCCCTCACTAGGTGGCTCTCTTTCCCGTGAGTGGGTGGCGCGTCGGTGCCGGGCGGGTGATTGGGGGCATTGTACTGCAGCAAGCGCCGCGCGTCACGCTGCATCATACCAGACGCTGGCAATATGAGGGGCATAGTCCACTTTCTATTTCGTTAATGACAATCTGTCCTTGGAATTTATTTCAAAGCAGGTTCTACTTTCGTTTCCGCTAAACTTATACCTGCGGTTTCAAAGGAACATTGGCATAGTTTGATTGGTGCAGGTCTCAGGGAAGGATCTTGAAAGTGCCTCTTCAGATGGCATGGAAAAAGACAGCAGGAATCATGTAGCCATAACAGACCAAACCAAATCAAAATAGCCCATTAAAATTCTGATTTTAACTATCCTATGAAGGCTGCATTCTTGGAAGGTTTTATACAGCCACATATAAGTACTTTGGGATAGCTGCTTAAATGACTCCACAATACGGACTGAAAATATAACTTGTAAAATGTCAATTTCTTCGAGCCATGGATTATGAATTTTCCAGCTATTTCCCATACACTCCATATTATTATTGACTTCATTCTTTATTTCAGCTTTTTGGCCCGAAACCTGACACAAAACAATAAATATCCAAAAAGATATGTTCTAAGAATGAAACTTCCTTTTCTTGACTCCTTTCATCAGACAGATGTATCTAGGGCTCTTCTTGATAGTATTTTATCCAACGTTTTCCTGTCTCACCCAATGACATAGAATGACGAGTTTTAAAACACTGCAGACCCGTGAGAGGAGAAAGGCTGCAGAGGAGAGAGGAACTTGGAGGTCTGCCTTTAACAAGCGAGATCCCCACTGTGGGGTGCCTATCACAGTGATGGCGATAGTCAGTCTTGCTGCTCGTCCCCAGCTTAAATGATAGAAAACCACGTGTTAGGCTTCTAGGATGTGTTCCCACCCTCACCCTGGCCTCCCCGCGGCAGGCTCGCAACGGCTAGGTCAAGAGGGAGTACGCGGGTGGGGTGGATTTGGGGGAGGGGTCGACCCGCCAGGAGAAGTCGGCTATCCCCGTCTGCAGGGGAGGCATCGCGGCTGTCGTGTGCCGCTCTCCTCCCTCAGGGACCCCGTCCTGGCGGGATCCCGCCTCCCAGAGCCCAGTGCAGTTGTGGGGAAAACCCCTCGCCATTCCTCGCCTCTTGGCGCGGCTGCCTCGCCCTCCCGACTCCAGTCCGCCGCCCGCCAGCCTCCAGGCCATGCATCTTCTTCGCAGGCCCAGCCCTCTACACGCCTGGCTCTGAGAGGAAACTATGGAGGTGGTTCCCGCCCGCAGGCGGGTGGAAAAGCCCATGGTGAATGCCTCGGGGTGTCCCCCCAATTTCTGTGGGAAGTGGGAAGGGAGGAGTAAGTGGACTTTATCACCGGGGATAACTACCTCGATTCCCAACTTAGGAGAGGCCTTTAGAAGGACGAGATGCCAACGGGGAACCCTGGGTGGTTTCCTGGGAATCCATTCACCAAGGGGAGGGTCACCCTGTCCGCACACATCGGTTACTATGACAATACAACCACAGCCTCTAGTTGCCATGGCAGCTGCCTAACCAATCCGACTGGTTTCCTTTCTCTTCCTCTTCGGGCCCCACCCTATCCCCTCTAACAGTCTCCCAGCGTGCTTGGGGAGGGGCTGCAGAGAAGAGGAGGGGGGGTCCTTCGAGTCACTGTCTACGCGCGCGCGAGGGAAGACAAGAGTCGAGGGACAGCCGGGCGGAACTGTAGGAGGAAGGGGCGGCGTTTCCGGCGGGGAAGAGTGAAGGCGTGCAAAAAGGAAGAGGGAAATCGGCTGAAGTGATAAGAAGGGGGAAGACTTTGAGTGTAACTCCCGGTTCTTTTGGGTTCGATGTTCTCGGTGGGGTTGGGATTGCCCTCTTGCGCGGGAGGAGAGGAGTGGATTGGCAGGAAGCCACCAAGCGCCACCAGCAGGTCGCTAAGAAGCCGCACAGGCGCCACACAGCTCGTTGATCCCAAAAGGGAACGCTACAGAGAGGCGGAAATCGTCGGGAGGGACAGGCGCTGCTGAAATCTCGCGAGAGGGACCCCCTCCTCCTCGCCGCAGACTTCCTTCCTCTGCTTCTCCGCTTTCCCCTGCCCCCTCCCTTCACCCCCCCCCCCCCCCCCGGTCGGAGTGTCCCTGTGCCCCACGGGCCGGAGCAGCAGCGAGAGCAGCTTTCCCCGCTCCCTCCCCCTCGCCTCATTCACCCCCACCCCCCCCGCCGTGCGAGGAGGAGCCGGAGGAGAGGAAGATGGCGGCGGCCGCCAGCACCCGCGGTGCCGCGGGGCCGCTCCGAGGAGCCTGAGAGACCCACGGAGGCTTCGCGGGAAGACGCGGCGGCGGAGGATGAGCCTGCAGAGCGCGCAGTACCTCCGGTGAGTGCTAAGGCTGGCCCGGTATGTAGCGGGAGCGGGCCGAAGGTTGGGGCATGGAGCAACAGACACCGAGGTGGTAAGTCCGGGGTGGCGGGGGAGTTGCTGCGTCCTCTCCTCGCCGGGCAGGGCAGCTGGGGCTGCAAGGGTATCTGCGAGAGGAGGCGGAACGGGTATCGGTGCGTATCCCCCACCGACCTGGCTGAGCTCTGGAGAAGCCGGCCAGTCCCGGTGCGCGGAGGGAGGTTGGGGAAGCGTGAGAATGTCTGTGCGCGCGCGCCCGTGTTCTCGGGCTCGCTAGCGAGGGGTGGAGAGAAACGTCCGGGGAGGCGGCGGCGACCCCGAGTGGAGGTGGGTGTGGAGGAGTGTGATCCCTATGGCGGGGGACTCGTGGTGTGGCGTGGGATTGGTTGGAGCGATGCTTGAGTAGGGGACGGGGAGGAAGTCTACACACCTGGAGTGTTGGGGCGGGGGAACCGAGGAAGGCAAACAGAAGGAGAGAGAGACCAGACCGCAGGAAACTGGAGCTTGTTCTTCACTCTCGGGTTGGGAGTATTGAGGAATAATGTCATCTGTAGTTAGTTGGCGGTGTAGGGAGGGGATGAAGAAGGGGAATAGATGGGGAAGTGAGGAAAGAAGGAGGCACTGTGGACAAGGTTGAGTTTTCCAGAAGAAACTGGGTTAGAATCAGTGTAGTTGGGAGATACCATTCTGAGAGTCGTGTGTATTCATTAAGAGTGGTATAAGGAGCTTGTATGTCAGGTAGAGTAACACATGGATATAGTGTGTGTGTGTATGTGAGATGTGTGTCTGGGTAGGGGGAGGGCAGCGACTGATGCACATTTCAGGAAGAAGATGCAGATAGGTTGGAACTTAGTACATGGTGGCAAGAACATATTGAATGGAAGGACACCAGCTTTTGTGGAGCCAGAAAGGTTCCATGGACGCTAAGAGCTTAGAAGCAGAGGTAAAGAGGGTCAAAAATCTTGATAACAGAGAAAAGTAAGGTTATTAGAGCCTGAAATTAATTGGCGAGTGACTACTGCTTAGAAAAGGGGAAGACTTTAAAATTGGTCGTTTTTGTCATTCAGGAGCAGAACTAAGAAAGGCAGGCCTTATGGAAAGATTTTTTTTTTTTTTTAATTGTTTCATACCTTGCGGAGGAGGGAGTTGGATGAGGTGGAAGTCTGAAATAAGTGGAAAAGTCACTTTAGCTGTTTAGTGAAGTGAAAGTACTGATGTGTGTGGATCCCCATATGTATATTTCAAGAGGTGCGTAGTTACATGATACATACGGTAGCCATTATAATTTTTAAAATAGTAAAGTTTTATTAAGCAAGATAGGGAGAGGAGAGAATGATGAGATATTTGGATTATGCATGAATGCCTGATTTTAACTCAACATATATTCCTAGTGACCATAGGACAGATGGAATGATGTCTGTAATTTGAGGCCCTTTTTTCTCCTCAAATATTCCTTTGTTGTTTAATATATCAAATAAATAAAGCTATGACAAAGATCTGTTGTAGGTGATATAGAGAGATACGGAAACCATCAGGGTGCTGATTAGTCTTAAGGAATTTGCAGTTGAGTATCTTTTAGGCAAGTAAGTTAATACCAGCACAGAGTGTAAGTATCATAAAAGATACCAAGTGTTTTCAGTCCAAAGGCAGGAGATCACCTGAGCAATGGGAGGGAATCAGGAAAGACTTCCTTGGTTCATTTGCTCATTCGTGTACTCATGATTCATTCGTTGTTTTGTTGATCACCTGTATGGGAGGCATTGTACCAACATCTGAGAATAGAAAAATAAAACTCCACCCTCCTTTTATGGAGCTTACAATTTGTTAGACTTCAAGAAAGTGGCATTTAGGATATTGTTCATCCTTAAAATTCATTTTAACAGATGTGGATTGAGAACGGGAATTCCAAATGGAAGGAAACTGAGCAGAGTTATGTAGATAGGGAAGTTGGGGGAGGGGAGATGTTCAGTCCAGGTAGATGAGAAGGTAGGGTGATACAGCTGGGAAAGCTTAGATAGAATTGTGGGGATTATCAGGTTTGACCCTTTCCTTTTACACATGAGGAAAGTAAGCCCAAAGAAGGTAAAATTGTTGAGGGTCATATAGCTGGTATGTGGAAATTAACTCAAATGTAGGTTTTCTAACTTCAAGTCAGCTATAGTACACTGCATGTCAGTGTTCATCTGTTCTTTCCACAAATACAAGTTGAGAACATACTATATTCTAGTGTTGAGGGTACACTGGTGAACAAAAGGGTGAACATGGGAGGATATATTATAGAAGAAGGACACAGTCAGTAAACATAGCAGTTAAATATATATCAGGTGGTCACAAGCACTAGGAAGAGAAATAAAGTAAGACAGGGATATACTGTTCAATCTGGACAAGGTGGTCAGGGAAATCCTAACTGATAAGGTGACCACATTTAAGAGGATCCTGAATATCATGTTTTGTAGTTTATAGTAAAAATGGCTAGACAATGGAGAATCTGAGATGATTTGTTAGAATTAATATGTTCATAGCTACGTGTTAGGAAAATGACTCTGTTTGTGTGATGTAGTGGTGGATAACAGAGAAAAGTAAGGCTGTTAGAGTCTGAGATTAATTGGGAGTGACTTAGAAAAGGGGAAGACTTTAAAACTGTTTTCGTTTTGTTTTTTTTGTAAGGTTCTATCCCTTACAAAAGGTTCCCTTTGGGACTTAGGTCCAAAATAAGGTAGTGGCAGGGGATCTAGAAAGTTATGAAAAGCAAAATGGCAGAGTGGTGGTACTTTTAATGGGAAGATTAGTGGACTTTGAGAGGATTCTTGTTAATGTACCTTATATTTTATAAGTTGACAAGGTAGGGAAGACTTTTCCTTAGGTGTGGAATCAGTGGTAGCTTGAGATGAACTTAGTTCTTTGAAGAAGGGAGAAAAGAAAAAAATTGAATACAATGATATTTTTCAGCTAAAATTGAACCAGCAAAATGGGGAGGCATAGGTCCTGGTGTTCCATAAAGATTCCTGGAGCCAGTCTTGTCTCAATATGCATTTGTCCTAAGTAAATTAAAGCAAGTGTTAGAAGTCTGAGACCTAGGTGATGGTGGTGGGAATCATAAATAAAGGCTTGTGCCAGTCTGAATTTCCCTCTTCCTCTTTTAGATAATCATTCCATTTAAAGTCTGCAGTGGGGAGACTAGAGAATGTCTTTAGAGAAGCATTATGTTCACTTTTTTGAAAATAGAACTGTTGGTTTTTATAGACACCTCAGGGAGGATGCCGAGTATTGCTGAATGGATGTGGTTGCGGGGGTATAGCAGTTGTTTTTCGTGACCTTGGCTTTAAGAATTTTCTTGCCTACCTTTGTCAGTGGTGGAAGATCATGACTGGGCAATTTTTAATCTGCGTGGCTACAGATCCTGCCTCATGTAGATGAAAATTGGTTTTGTCTCAGCTGAATTTTAATTTGTTAGTGTAAATGAGCTGGGATATCTGGCATTGAAATGGTGGGGTGGTGGGAAACCAAGGAGCAAGACGGCTATTTCAAAAGGGCCAGAAATGAAGATATAAGGCAAGAAGCCTCAGTAAGACCAATAAAGAGAGAATTCAGCATCAGGGGAACTGAATTAGTCTCAAGTTGTAAAAAATAGAGCAGAGATGAAAGGAAGGAAACCTATCCTCTGTGTGGGAAAGTTGGTGATATTCCGGGCAGGAAAGGATAATGAAATTTTTTGTTTGTTGAAAGGTAAGTATTTTTTAATACACTGACAAGACTTATACGTGAATCAGTTAAGTTGAAAATACTTTCTTATGTTTTATAAAAATAACAAATGGTCTTAAATATGGGTGTTCTAGGCTGAATCACACTGGAAATTACTCAAATTGAAGGAAAATTCAGAGTATTTTCTCTTTTGATTTATGACAGAATGAAAGATTTATAAAGACTTTGACACCTCTGTTGAATAAAAGAAAAGGGTGTATTGAATATAGTTCATTTGGTGACGGTAAGAGGAGGTGAGGATAGGCCGTAGGTGAGGTATAATATCATGCTTTAAAAGAATGGCATTTTGAAAAAAAGAAAAATGGAAATTAACATATCAAAGTTGGAAAAGCAGGAGTGCGGGAAGTGTTAAAGTACCAGACAGAGAAGACATCAAAGTTGTTTTGGAAGATTAGAAAGAATAGTCATAGCCATAGGGAATACCAGTCAAACAGGTCAAATCCTGTTATAAAAGGTGGCATAGGTGCCACTGAATGACATCTGCTGCCGTTGTGGGAGGCGTTGTTCATACTCTGTATTCCTTTCAACTTTCCTCCTTACCCTCCTTCACTATTCTCTTTTGTCTTTAATTTCTTCCTATGCTGTGGATGTTTCAGTGAGATCCATTTGAAGTGGATTCCTACTGTTAGACTCCTTTACAGGAAAGGTCCAGAAAGCATCTGTTTTGGGTTGTGTGTGTGTGTGTGTGTGTGTGTGTGTGTGTGTGTTTTTGGTATGATATGTCTGTAGTGAAGAGGCTGCATTTCAGTGACTCGCTTGTCAGAAACTTTGTTACTGATGTAATAGCCACAGGGTTGTTTTCTAAGCCAACAGGAAAATGGTTGTCATTTAAATAGGAATTAAAATATCCAATATGGTATAAAATAAAAATGTATCACTGTAAATCTTGGAACAGAGAGAGATAGTGGGGATAAGGCTGGATAAAGTAGCAAGCTGAGCCTTATCCTATCCTGGGGAGAGGAACAGAGAAGATAGTAGGAGTATTGGGAGGAACATATAACTAAATAGGATGGGCTCCAGGTTCTAAAAGAGTCTAGTAATGCTAGATCAGGTCGTCACTGTATCCTGAAGCTTCTAGAAGTCTTAGAGCACATGCTGATTTTAATCCATGTGGTACTCGAAGTCTTCTTCCTCTGTCCCATTCCCTTCCTTTCCACCAAGTACATCCTTTACAAAATGTAAAGTAGCTTTTGTCTCAAAATATCAGCCAAATATAGTGAAATTATTTGAATGAATGACTGTCTCTTTAGGCTTATAAGTCTTTGTTATGACAGTGTTAATAGCATATTACCTGCTTGGATATTTTCTGAATAAATTACTTTGGCAGTTAATTTCTGCTTCCCTTGTGGTTTCATTTGGATTCAAAATGTATACTTCCTGTCCTATCTTATGTTTCATTTCTTTGCTTTCTAATAGCTATGGTCTTGTGCCTTCATAGTAGAAGAATCAGTTGCTGAGTTTGTTGTTGTTTTTAGTGATGTGTTACAGTAAGATCCGGACCCACTAGTATTGCAGGTTTCTCATAAGGCAGTTTTGCTGTGGAGAGTGGTTCAGACTTTAAAAGGGCTTGTGTGTTTTATACTTGAGAAAAATTGTTTGCTGCCTCCAGCTAGCGTTTCAGATTTTTGTATTAGTGTTATGAATTAGTTAGTGCCTGAAAGTTTAGATGGGTTAGTTTAACCGAACTTGTGTAGAGAGTAAATTATAAAATATATGTCTTGTAGATAGTAGATTGTTCATCTGTGTGTAGGTCTGTTGGCCATTATATATTGCCATTAAAGTTTTGCAGTCAAGCTGTATTCTAATTTAGTTGCTGTGTTG